CACTGGCTCATATTCTCAGCCACACAAATACATTCCACAGCCCATTATATTTCTTTAGGATCAATTTTGATATTGCTCTACCATCCATAAGTAGCTCTACCTACTTCTCTGTTTCCTTTAGGGTTCCCTCATGCGTGCTGCATGTCTTGCCCGCCTCGAGGAGTACAAATTGGAGACACAAGCCACACAGCTGTGAAGAAGGAAATATTATTTGATGCTCCCCACGTTACGTCACGAGTGGTTCTTAATTAGTTCTTAATTAGTGCTGTGACGTGCTCCGATATTTGAGGCTGAAAGAGACAATTTCGTGCATTGACTCCAGAGTCCCAGAAGAAGCTAAATGCAGTGCAGTGCAGTGCAGTGCAGTGCAGTGACCAGTGGCTCGGTAAGCAATATAATTCTATGAATGCAAGATTTGAGGTTCTCACAGCGGTAGCTATGAAGAGTGCAATCTTATGGGCTATAACATGGGGCAGCATGTTGAAAGTCAACGGAAGTTCAGAAGAACACATCACATTCATGGTCTTCACTGCACAGCTTGGTAACGGCTTCCAACAGTGGACGTTCCTCTGCTACCAGACTCATATCCTCACAGGCTTGCGGCAATTTCAAATCCTACTCCTCTACCTCTTGTCTCACGACTGTCCCGTAATGGCAGCTGGTCCTCTTTAGATATTCTCGGCACGAACCGCACAGAAAACACTGCTCCCACAAGTTACTCCATTGTTTCGTGTTATACAACCGTTATCTAGCAATGGCTGTTTCTCAGGCTCCATAGTTCTTGTTTTGAGCAAATATGCCACAATATTAAGCATTAATACCTATTATTCTTGCAAATAAAGTGTTTAAAAACTAATTAATTATTAATAAAAACGGTACACAATGTTAGTGGTGGCCCTGTCGGTTAAACTGGTCGCAATATTATTTGATTATTCTACTTGAACTGACAACTAAACGTTTCTTGTTAATACGTGCCAGATATAACACTTCACCACCGTGCCACGAGCCTCAGAGGGCGAAGTGCGACACCGCACAGAGGTGAACCTTGTCTGCAGACTCAAGAAGATGCCCGCAGTCTGCCAGTGCCTGTTTATCGCAGCGCCTGTCTCAGAGATGCCTGGCAGTGCCATACGGCCTCTTTGTTTCTGCTCATGTTGCATGCTAATTACAACAACGAAATGAATTTAAAACAGGTAACTAAATAAATGCCGGTCACGGTAGCCGAGCGATCTAAGGCGTGTACTGTCTTCGCTCGCTCGGAAGCCGGGATCGTGGGTTCGAATCCCATTCAGGGCATGGATGTGTGTGTGTGCGCTTTTCTGTGTTTGTGTACAGGTAGAGGCCTTGCGACGTGCTGATCACCCGCCCAAGGAGTCCTACCGAATGTGTAAGATCTAGAAAAACCGAAGTGAACGGAGAAGTTCATGGAGGTAGCCCTAGCCCACTGGGGCTGTAGTGCCAAGGGGAAAACAAACTAAAGAAATAACATCACGGAAATTAAAATAAAAACCCACGGGATGGCGGAGAATAATATTAAACGGTTTATATACAAAATGCCTTGTGTGTGTGTGTGTGTGTGTGTGTTGTTTGGAACTCGTTAAGTTACCGGCAGAGCGGGGGGGGGAAGTGGGGGGAGGGTCAGTGACCCAACTCTTCCAAGAAACGACATGCCTGTCTTCCTCTGTTTAGTGCCAGTTTGTGGGACATGATATCAGTGCTGGAATATCCCATTTGTTAAAATAAAACGGGCAGACGTTTTCACCTGACCCGCATCCTAAACCGTGCCCTGTAATGTGTAACTCAGCAAGAAAGAACTGTTGTCCTTCAGGGGTATCATTACAGTGCCCTATCTAGTGGATACTGTGGGCTCTTTCCCGGGGGTAAAGCGGCCAGGGAGTAAAGCTGACTGAGATTAACTTTTTCTAAGGACCCCAACTGATTTGGCGTCTTCTGCCCCTTTCACCGGGGAACGAAAATAGATCAAGTTTCCGAAACGTCGTGTTTTCTATTTTATAGAATACCAGACGATGGAAAAAGGTACCAAAACCAAGAAATTCTGCGTGAAAAATTCTGTTCACAGTTGAGTACACACTTTAAAGAGGCATGTGGGATTTAGGAGCAAGAGAACTTTCAGACTGTGTTGAGGGCAACTGGAGAGACTGAAACCTTGCGAGGAAGTATCCAAGATTGGCTTCAGCTGGATGAAGGAGACCATGGATCTTAGATTCTGGAAGCAAGAAATTTCTGCAGTGATACTTTTTACTTATTTTTATCAACACTGTTATTTTTTTTTCAATTATTTTTTCTCAGTTTTTCTTGTTTGGGGCTACCTTCTGCTTCATTAATTCGTATTATCGCTTAATCCGAATGACCTATCCACCCCGCAATTAATCTGGATTAGCGAGGATTTACTGTAACTATGTGTGCATGCCCCTACCAAGTGCGCTTGAAACTGCCCTGTCTCTGAAGTCGTCATGCCCCATAAATTCATGTGAAGTTGGCGCTCTGGAATTCCATGAAGAGCCACAATATCTCGGCAGCAAACATACCGACTGAGCGCGGGTAGTACAAACAGCTTGCATACTCTGTTCGGTAAAGACTATTATAGACTGGAACGCGAGCAGAATCCTCTATTTAATAGCCTGAAGAGGTGAACAACCGCTGCAAAGCAGAACTGTGTCCTGGAAACTGCGACACCATGAAGCCAACATCAGAACTCCGCCTGCTTCGTCCTGATTTCCCGCTTGGCTTAACCTCCCAGCCTGAAAATCGAAGCGATATGTTCCTCCGAAACGTCCGTTGGCTTTCAATATACTACACAGGCGTTTCAGCCAAGGAGATATTCATTACTTACTTACTCATGGAGCTGAGCCCTTCTTGAGGGGCCGCCAATTTTGCAGCTACTCAGGAATTTCCTGGCATTTTATGGAACCCGAAGGTTCTTTACCGTGTTCATAGGAGCCCATCACTGGTCCCTATCCTGAGCCAGATCAATCAAATCCATACCATCCCATCCCGTCTCTATTGTTGACGTTTTATCAGCCGTTACTAAGCAACGCATGTTCCTTCTCGTGACCGTTGCCTAGCAACGATACTACACGCTACAATACTAATTATCAGTTTCGCTGACACAGTAATTATCTTAACAAAGCCCTATGCTCTGAATCTGTGTTTGGTGTTTAAATTCTTCTGTGTATATAAGTCGTTTATCCTTAGGATCAAGAAGTTGATTGGGTTTCTCCTGACCGTTTATGAATCCTATTAGCTTCCCCATACAGAGAGAAAACATACATTATTCGTCGTTACTGTGAGCTCCCGCAATTAAGTTCGCTTCCATTTTATTCCTTCCAGAAACAAGTTGAGGCCTAGAAACATTCATTTGAAAGTAATTACCACTGACCGTCGAAGGAGTGGTACAGCTTACAGCATCAGCGTGTGTGAAGTTCTGCGTAACTTTCGACTCTAATTTCCAGCCCTTCAAGTCATAAAACTACTGACACTTATCGAGGGATCAGCATAGTGCAATAAATTCTGTGTCGTGCTCATTAACATGTGCGGATTATGAGCACATCTCCGAAACCGCCGTCACAGTTCTCTAGGCAAAACAGTGGGCTTGACAAAAGTTCAAACAGCATCTCTCAGTATGGTGTGAGGTCCTCAAAGCTGAGGCTATCAAGAGAATATAAGTCAGCCGACGTTTCGGAGGAATAAGTCGTTTCTACCTTCAGGGTCGAAGAATTGGAGCAGCTATTTCTGTTTGTTACCTGTTTCATGCTAGTAGTTACTATAGGATTCTGACGATGGTGTATAACACACTGATATGTTGGGATTTTGGACTTTATCCATCGTCCTGGTTTTTAAGATAACAAATAAAAACACGACGTTTCGGAAACTGGATCTGTTTCCGTCCTCAGGTGAAGGAAAACACCTATTCAGTTGGGTCCCTTAGAGGCTATTGAGGCTAGCTCTTTCTAAGAGACCCAACTGAATAGGTGTTTTCCTTCACCTGAGGACGGAAACAGATCCAGTTTCCGAAACGTCGTGTTTTTATTTGTTATCTTAAAAACCAGGACGATGGATAAAGTCCAAAATCCCAACATATCAGTCTGTTTCATGCTGCTTTCGTGTTTGGTTTATTCTTTGACCTTGAAGGTGGAAACGGCATGTTCGTCCGAAACGTCTTTTGATTTTCGTATATACGACATGATAGCTTAATACTTCTTTCAAGAGACTGATTACTCGGCGGGTTGGTGTTGCATTCGGGAGATGCCGGGTTCGGTTCTCGGCCAGAGCATCCGGTATCTCGACCGAAATCTTTCGAGATTTTCCTAAGTGCTCCTAGGTAAACGCTGGGATAGTACCGCGATTTAAGTAGTCACCGCTCCCCGTCATCCTATAATTCGATACTACATATTCCAGCAACCGAAAGCGTCGTTAAATAACCACCCCTTCCCCCCCAAAATGGCGACTACTCGGACCACCTAGGCTGGGAAGCTACTACATACATTAGGGAGGCACGCGGTAGCGTAGCTGCTTGAGGCACTGTGCTACAAGCCGGAAGGCCGCGGGTTCGGGGTCATTGGATTCTCAATAGACCTAATTCTTCCAGTCGCATTATAGCCCTGGGGTCGACTCATTCCCTTACAGAAATGAGTAGTAGGAATTTTCCTGGGGGTATAAAGAGCTGCCGGCGTGTAAGGCTGAAAACCTCACCGCCATCTGTGAGCCGATTGTTTAGAAAATGTGGGAGCCTCGACGTCTCACAGCGCTATGGGCCTCAACGACTTGCTATTGCCATAGGATCGCCTTTTACCTTTTATGTACATCAGGTAGAAAGGTGCGCTGAATTTCGCCTAGCAAAGGCTGTTTTTCTGTATGTTTAGCGGCCGTTGCCTAGAAAAGAATGTTCGCTAGCAACGGCTGTTTCCATGGCTCCGCAGTTCCTGCTTTGAGTAAACACACTGTAATGCAAGTGAAGTACAGACGCTGTGTGTGTTTACCTTGTCCGGAGAGGCAAGGTGGGTGCCCAAAGTGGCGACCTGCAGGGTAACTTGACGGCTGTTCTCCAGATCCTCGGGTGGGCAGTACAGCGTCTCGCTCAGGAAATACGCCTGCGTACTTGTCAACCTGCAACACAAAGATCACATGTTATAAACTGAACCAGCAATCCTCAGTCTATAAAACTCCGTTGCTTTAGTCCGCAAACGAACTATACCGACCGAGCGACCGCCCGCCGCTTGTCGGCGAAGTTGGTGCCAACTTTTGCAGATACAGAGTGTCGCGTGGTCAGCGCAACGAATACCCACGGCCGTTAATTTCGGTTTTCTAAACCGGAGCCGCTATTTCATTGAAACTGCTCAAGCATCAGGGAACAAAACAGAAGACACAGAATTACTGTTTCCCCCCCCCCCCCACCGCNCCCATCGTCCGGGATTCTAGGAAATAGAAAACACGACGTTCTGGAAACTGGTTCTGGTCCGAATAGCGGCTCCTCAAGAACGGTTCAGCTCAGCGGAGTTAATTATCGCTCCACTTAAACGCTAATTTCCCTGAATCTCAGTTCGAAATTCGTTGATTTTCTCAAAAAACGGCCCACTGTCCAAATTTTATACGTGACGTCACGTGGATGAAATTAAGGTCGTTTTGAAATATTCTCTAGTATTTAACAAAATTATAGGTTTTGAGGTTTTCATGGCGGTGAGTGTCGAGACTGTGGTCTTCTGGGTTTTGACACCACGCAGTCCTGTAGGCGGATGCCGACGTTTCGAAAGAATATTTTGCTCCATCTACATTTCAATCTCGAAGATGGAGGCATCACAATGTTCCTAAACATACTGTTACGTATCCTGGGTACGTGGCTAATGATTAATGGGTGTTGGATTACATGAATCGAATTATTGGACATTCACCAGTCGTAACTACAAATCATTTTAGCACGTCGAAATATCAATGGAACAATAACACATAAAGTAAAGCGTTCAAAACTTCCATTCTTGCATACTCCTTGTATGACTCACAGTGGTCAATCCTCTTCTCCCCCATTCGTGCTACATGCGCTGTCCATCCCATTCTCCTTGACTTGATCATTCTAATTATAGTTGGAGAAGAGTACAAGTTATGAAGCTCCTCATTATGCAGTTTTCTCCAACCTCCTGTCACTTCATCTCTCTTTGGTCCAAATATTCTCCTCAACACCCTGTTCTCAAACACCCTCAGTCCATGTTCCTCCCTTAATGTCAGAGACCAAGTTTCACACCCATACAGAACCACAGGCAAAATTAGAGTTTTGTATATTTACGGTAAACAAAATTACTTCACTGATCAACGTTTAGTGTCGACATTCTATATCAAATTTCATCAAAATCCTTTGCATAGCATTTGCAGGCGTACGGACATAACCTTTCTAATATGAAGGTACTTTGAACAAGGAATTTAACCCTAACGGCAAAAAAAAATTGGGAATTAAATCATAAAACATATTTAACAACCTCGTGCCATATAATTGAGATAAATATTCCCGAGGTCAGTGGATGTTTCCTTCTATAAGCGTGTCAAGAGAACAATCAATTTCACCATCAGTACGACATGAGCCAGAGGTCTGAGTCACACTAAGGTCACAAACAGTTGTACCTTGTTTGGCGACCTGTGAACTGAACCCCAATATATATACCTTATGGCTAGTAGTCTCGTGAGGAAACCTATATATAAACCATGCGAACTCTCCACGTGAGAAATGTGTATGAGTTCAAAGGTCGTACAAGTTCCTAAGGACAAGAAATTGGACGCTACTGAACCTAAACACATCCATTTCATGAAGTTACCTTCTCCCTCGAATGTACCTTCAGTTACAAGCATAAAACACTCATCTTCCAAGAAACTATGTTTTGCCTATATCCATCATACGTGTAATAGCCTGCCAAGGGTCTGTGTTCTAATGGTCAGAGTTCCTGGCTACAGATCCAGAGGTCCCGGGTTTGATTCCCGGCCGTACTAGATTTTCTGAGAAGTTGTGAGTCTGGAACATGGTCCACTCAGCCTCGTGAGGATAATTGAGAAGCTCTTTCAAGGAAGTAGGGGCTCCGGTCTAGAAAACCAAAATTAACGGCCGTGGGGATTCGTTGCACTGACCACGCTACACCCTCTATCCTCTGAAGTTGTCACTAACTTGGCCGACAAGCGGTCGGTATAGTTCGCTTGCGGACTAAAACCATGGAGTTTGTTTTTTTTAGGTTATCAGATGCATGATAGAAGTTACAGTGAAAAAAAAAAATTATGAATAGCAGAATTACATAAAAACAGACCTGAATATTTATGATGTAAAGCTTGTAATATATGGTTACAGCAATTCCTTGTCACGTGTTCTGGTTGAAACAAATAAGCGCATAAGCTGATGGACAGGCAACGGAACTGCCTGTCTTCAACCTTGCAGGACCCACACCTGCACCAACACTGACATTCCACCTGACAAGCCCGCTCTTGCAGTCACTCAGCGTCGATTGAAACCTGTCGCATGTCGTTTCCAGGTGTTCTCGTGTGTACCAGAAGCAAGAACACACCCTGTTACCGAGGTCTTCCCCTTTGTATTCGAAGGTGCCCCTTTCGAATCCCGGCCTACACACCAACTATCCAGAATGTAGTGTTTTGTTCTTTAGTTCAGTCATTCCAGGCAAATACCTGGACGGTCGAGGGGTCGAAGTTCGAGTCTCGGTAGGGGCGAGATTTTTCTCTTCTCCACGCCGTCCGGACCGGCTCTGGGGCCCACCCAGCCTCCTATCCAATGGGTACCAGGGACTTTTCCCTAGGAGTTAAGCGGCCGGTGCGTGAACCTGACCACTCAACTCTGACTATTGTAGAGGTCAAGTACATAAATGCTTTCACAGTGTCGTGCCTAATTAGTTCAGCACAGGGGCAACTTTACCCTTTTAACCTTGCCTACAATTAAATTGTTCGACGAAATATAATCTTTTACTGTTAGGGTAAAAGATAATGCCACCCCTGTAACAGGCAGTGGAGGCCCATATGTTTGTGAGACGTCGAGGCTCCCACATTTTCTAGATAATTAGCTAACAGACGGCGGTGACCGGCAGCCTTTTAACCCCAGGAAGATTCCTGATACTCATTTCTGTTAGAGACTGAGTCGACCCCAGGGCCATAGTGCGGCTGAGAGGGTTAGGTAAACTGGAAAATGCAATTTGCTGCAGGAATATCTGGAAGTGTGACGTAGGTCCAACGCAGTGTCTGTGTTAGCACCGAGAAAACACAGAACGCCTTACATTAGGCAACTATAAGCCTTAAGTCACACGCGCACTTAACCTGTGTGAATTCAACCACAAGCAATCGAAAAAAAAAGAGAAAAATTAAAGAGGAAGAAGAAGAAAACCAGTCATCGGAATGATGAGTGTCTGGCTTATGATATCACCATGCCGTCTGTGTGTCTGTGAATGCACCCACCCCCCACCAACGAAATTTTGTATTCCTGAACAAATCTTTATGAAGAAAGTAGTCTTCTGGGATTTGGCACCGTGTATATGGCACCTCCATCTTCAGATGGAGGCGATACGTTCCTCCGAAACGTCGGTTAACACCACATATACATGGTGCCAAATCCCAGAAGACTGCTTTCTTCATAGTCACCGCCGTGAAAGCCTCAAATCTTACAAATCTTTGTGAAACTCTCTATGTACATCATGGCACCTCAGCCCATCTCAAAGGCGTACTTCATCACTCGCATCACTCTGTGTGTTTTAAGCGTATCGCTCCTACTGTTGCTAAGCAACGGCTCGGTAAAACTTTACCATGGCAACGAATACACACGTTTCCCGCGGGGCCCATGTCGTATCAAAGGAAAGCGGGCGATTAGTTCTGACCAGAACTTCGTGTTCTATCCCTCTCAATTGTTCATATTATAAATAAAACAGCTGCATTTTACTTTTAGGGATCTATGAACGCTTTACACGATACACCAAACCCTCGATAATCCGGAGTCGTTTTGAGGGAGAGGTCATCCGGATTCGTGAAGCAAAAGTAGCCCTAAAGGAAAACATAAATGGGAAAATTAACGATGTAAGCAGTGCTGATGGATACAACTGTAGAGCCTTTATTTAAAGACTATAAAAAGACAATACATTTATTCATGGCTAGAAGACTCAGAGGTTGCGCTTGTTTCTGAACTTAATAATGCAGGTTTGAAGAAACTGTCAGGTTTTGTCTGAGAAGACAAGTGGGCTCATTTTTCACATTTCTATCCGGATTCACGAAGATTTACTCTATATACTCGTACAAAAGCAGAGTAGGTAATTCTGATTATACGCGACTTCTGGATTACGCGCCCTGTTCAGAACGCAACCCCGGCACAAGTTGTGTGTGATGTGGCCTCTGATTCGGGGCAACTCCGGAGAAATATTTTCTGCTACCACATAACCAAAAAGAATGCGATTCTCACCATATCACTGATGTTATACTGCAAATGAATGAACCTCAAGAATGAAGTTCTGAAGCTCCCTATACATGAAATTCGTTAGATCCTTGTGAAATCAGTAAGCCACTTGTTCGTTTGCATGAGGATAGCAGAAACAGGTTTCAGTGTCTTTGCGCAACAAACTTCACCATTTGCAGCATTCCTGTATAGTAGGGGTGTACAACGCTCGTGACGTCATTCCCGAATGGAAGGACTTAACAGCGTATTGTCGTGACGTCATTTCTCTACTCGAGGGACTTTAAAGCGTTTTGTCATGACGTCGAGCGTGGCCCTCAAGTGACGACTGAATGTGACAACTGAACTTACTTGTGTACATTCCACTCAACACAACATATCTGTTCCTTTTAATATTGTCACGTATAGGCGTGCGTGACTTAGAGACGGGGTTTGGACTGGATTATTGGATTTATAGACACCTCATATATTCAACTGGTAACTACGATTAATTGTACCGCTATCGCTATTCTACATACTTTCCAGTTTACCAGTGTCCATTGTCTACTACACTCTCCACTACTCGTATCCTGGCAACGGATTCATAAGTCTCACTGCCACTTCAAATCACACAAGAAGACTTCTTTTCACAGCCTAATTCCTTTCTTGTCATTATTCTGCAACTGCCAACTCTGCTACTCAACTCATTTCTCAT